TAGTTTATACGGACGGGTACTTCACGCCTGTAACAGTGCAGAAAATATGAATCCATGGCACTGATGTCATTAATTAAATGATTGTCCCAATAGAACAAATGTCCGAAGATACGCAGGAAGCCCAACACGACATGACTTCAAATCACGTCGAAGAAAGATATACTCGAAAATCATCTTTGTATGTGGCAAATGGAGATCTGCTTCATTTCGTATTGATTTCTTCTGACTGAGTAATAACAGGCATCCGGCCACTATCAACTAAGGAAATTGAACAGATTCCGACGGAAGTTTTGAAGTAGTGTATGTTCCTGGAGGTGAGAGGCTATGTAAAAGTAGAATAGCAAATTCAGAGAATGATTAATGTCTACTATTGTAACTTTTCTTTGTTATTACTCTTTATATTTTTTATTTGTACTGTTAGGTATGAATTAGAATCAGAATATTTGATTTTGAGTTAGTGTCTCATGAACCTTTACTTGGAGTAAGCAATAGCATGCAGCATCTCTTAAGTAGTTCCAAAATTTATAACCTGGCAATCCCTACCAAAACTCGAGGGCAATGAATTTATTATTATATTTCGTCCCCACATTCCAAAATAATGTAAAATAGCACAAGGAATAATTCTGACGATTTTCAAGGCCGTCGGCTTTACCGTTCTCTTAATAATATTTTAATACCGCTAGATAAAGGAAATCAACCACTCTGGGACGGGGTCAGGATCGAGACTGGAAAATGTATTACCGGTTGAGACGTTTTATAAAGACATTTTTGCACTATAAGGCATGCTGGATCCCTGCACATATGAAGCTTGATTATACACGGCATTCTTCAATCCGGGGCGCTTAAGAGAAGGAGAATGCACTGTACTTATCTGTGGAGACGGTTGAGAATATCCCACGGGTGGTGTAGACAGCTGGGTGAAGGTTGAATTTATAGGTTGGATCGCTGCATATAGCTAGTGCTGCTGCTGGTGGTGCTGTAGGTGATTAATTACATGCGGCTCCTTATAATGGTAGTCGTGAAGTGCGTATAAAGCTAGCGACACCACATCTGAGAGTGGCGGAAATGATGCATTCGCGTTTTCTGACATTCTTGGATTCAACATATAACAAAGATCGCACTAAGTGGCCCGAGAGGGCCGGACGCCGGGGCGACAACACCTCGTGCTGATATTTTTTAGTAATAAGCACTGTTTAAAATGCACTTCACTGCACTGAGAAAACACCCGGCCTTCCATTGTTCCAACGGTCGTAATACGACCCCGCAAGGGCGCTTCTTATCACTGGTCCTAGTTGAGGTACTGCGGAGCGATAAGCAGCGGACGAGGTGTGCTCCGTTCGGTAGCAGAACGCTGAATGCCGGCCTTTCTAAGAACATCAGTTGTAACACACAAGTTAGGATTCATATCGCCCTGCAATCCGATCATCGCCCGGAAATGTTCTTACTGGGTACAACCCCAGAAGAAATTCATTCCGCTCAACCTGATCATTTACGTAAAGTAAACTGGTCATATTATCAGATGCTAGTTACACATCTTTTATCTCCACTGCCATTATTCCGAACTACGCAGGAAATCGACTGCGCCATTGTTACTCATACTATATTAGATGCTCTAGACTTAACGGCCCACACAGCCCATCAACGCACTCCGCTTCCAATAATACGATCTGTAGTACAGAAACTGATAGATTATAAACCATGTAGTCAAAATCACTGGTTGTCATGTAGTCAAACCTACCTATCTACCCATCCTTTTTACTCCCACTGGAGAAGCATCTTCACCTGATTAATGTAAAATGTTGGGTAATTACATTGCATCAACTTTTACTTTTTACGCTTCGCAAAACTGGCAACACGATAATCATATTCAATAAGTAATTGCACGACCAGAAATAACAGTTCCTGAATGCCCTAAATTTATTTCACCATCCGAAATCATCAAATATCTTTCATTAGCAACCCGGAAATTATGAAATGGCTATGATCTAATATCAACTTTTTTATTAAAACGGCTTTCTTTAAAAGTAATTGTAGATATTAGAAGAATATTTCATGCTATTTTGAAACAAACATACTTTTTCTAGATGTAGCTAAAGCTTTCGATACCGTTTGGCATTCAGGGTTAATTTTCAAATCCCACAGTATAGTTCCTCCATTATATCCCTCACGCATCATTGAAAGTTTTCTGTATGTCTCCTTGGAGCTCTCTTCACACCTTTCTATAACAAAACAGGAATACCCCAAGGATATACCCTCTCCCCCACTTTATTTAATGTCTAAACTTCAGATATACTAAACACACAAAATACTGCATTAGGTCTATTTGCTGGTTGCTCCAACAGCAATCTTGAATCTGCTGGTGAAGATCTGCTTCATCACCTTACATTGTTTTCCCACTGGACCAAAAATTGACACATTGAAATAAATCGAAATAAAACCAGGCAAAAATATTTACCCTTCGTAGACCAAACGTCCCCCACATCTCACATACCAATTACAAAACATCACCTGACACCCTCCTAACCAAATTGTCAAATATCTTTAAGTTCTTTTCAATAAGACTTACATGGTGCCAAAATATAAATCATGGCATAGGACTAGCAACTAGTAAGAGTCCACCAGTTATATCCGATACTCAAAATATCATCCCCCTACATGTTGTTATTCACCTCTATAAAGCAATGATATGACCCATACTTTCCTATGCTTCCCCAGTCTGGGCTACCACATCCAAATCAAACATCAAAAAAAAATGCAAATTTTTCAAAATAGAATCCTATGTACCATCACAATAGCTTCCTAGTACATTCCAAATGCGCAAATGCAAAATGAACTTGGCATTACACCCATCCCTGTCTACTTTTCTCACTTACCTGCAAAATTCTGCTCCAAACTATTAAAGATCCCATCAGCTATTCATTTTTACATAGGAAAGCATAATCCTCAACGCAAAAGATTAAAAAGAAAGTTACCAAGAGATTTTTTCAACCCCCCATAGACATGAACAGATGAGTCTTTTCTCAATATAAAATAAGAACTATGTAGCCACTATATTGTAATATATCTAAACTAGAATTGTGTGTATAATGTATCAAATGATTCCTGCATATATCTCATATCTATGTATTTGCCTTATGCGGCTGCAGAGAGCAAGCTGGAGTAAGTAAAAAAAAAGTTTCCTGTCTCCTTCCATGGCAATCACCTGAGGAATGCAAAACATTCCGGTGAATTTCAGTGTTGAGAATAGCCATCAGGCCTGCTCGTCTGCCTAACCACGTAATACATAAATGTGTAAATAAAAATTGAACAGTAAACAAAGGAAAATACAACTTTGATATGGCTTGAGCCTGAGATCACTTAAGTAAAAGGAAAAAAACATTCCAGCAATTACCTTTAGCGACCGGGGAAAACCAGGGAAAACAAAGGAAGTGTGCATGCTCTTCAACATTGAGCAACAAACAAAATATTTACAATAATTTTCAAAACATTACTGCCACAGGAATACACTAAACGTGTGCCCAAAAATAAATTATGAAAATTATTAATTTAGCGAAACCGGTCAAATGTTAACAAAAACAATACATTAAAGAAATCATGAAGCATGAGAATGCACACAACCACCTGGCCGGGACAACAGCCTAGGGCCAATTTTAATTTATAAGGACATGTACCAAGGGGGAAGACGCCTTCAGTCAAAACCATATGTTAAACAGGAATGAGTCAGTAGTTACTAGTAGATAATTCAAAAACATTACTAATCCGATAATATACTTCATAAAAATTAATTATACTATGGTTATTAAATTAGGAACTGACTTAAGAAATAGAAGAAAAGAAAGAACTGTTAAAAATTGTGATACAAAATATTACATTTAACTTACAATTTAAAAAACATGTACAATTTAAAAAACATTTCACAATTTACATTTAAAAAATATTATACAATAAGAGCTCAGTGAAAGAATATTTAAATGTTTTTTTAATGATTGCAATGTTTTACATTTCCTAACATTTACTGGAAGGCTATTCCATTCTTTGACCGTTGCTACTAAGTAACATTCATTGTAAATATTGGTGTTGCTTTTAAGAATATTGCATAGCAATGATTTCTGGAATCTTCTTGTTTTGAGATAAGAAATTTTACGAGAGAATATTTTATGAGAGATTACAATTTAGGAATTTATCGATGGTCAGACTGAGATTTTTAACTTGAAAGTAGAAATAAGCAGTAGTGTTGTTCAGTATGATATTGGAATATTTAGATTTTGAAGTGCTTTGTGAGACCGGAAGGACCCAATTATGATTGATTGAAATTTTAATTGGCTTAGCTCAAGGCTGTTTCTCACTAATCATTCATGTAAAGAGTCTAATTTGATTGTCTACATATGGGGAATACATTCCTGAAATTAAACCCCCTATTTTTGAAACCTGTTTATAAAAACAGGATTTATCCATTTTTTCATTTCCAGGGTTCACCATAAGAGTATTTTCTGCTGAAAATTTGCTGTTCTCCGGTGCATGATTATATAACTTTCTCTTCTTACAAAGTGCAAGCAAGTAAAACAAGAAAATAGATAAGTTCAAGAAATAAGTACATAATGAAAATAAAAAGGGGATGTTTGTTTCTAGTTACGAATCGGTTATCTACTTCCATGTTCCTTATACTGCAAACCTATTAATTTTGTTTTCTTGGTTAATAAAAACACATGTAGGACAATTTGATAATAAAAAAAATTACAGGTCTGATTAAATTTGAAAATAAAATAAAATTATAATTTACATATGGAAATGTTCTCCAATATAGATTATGAGTAAAAGAAATGTTCAAATCACTAGTGTTTCTGATTTCATTAAGTCTTCGTCAGGACTATAATTCATAAAGAGATAATGAGAGAAAAGAATCAAAGAAACCAAAGCTACTAAAAACATAAGATCAATCACTAAAGACAATATTAAACTCTATATTATGTGTGTTGAGACTTCCTATTTGTAAATGTATCCTTTTTTATTTCTTATTTCTTTACCTGTTTATACTCAAAAATCTTTCCATATATAAATTCAACAAAAAGGACAGGAAGAATAACATAAATAGTATAATTTTAATGCATTAAAAATTTACAGGACAGAATTATTAATTCCAGTATTCTATATGACTAGGTTTTACATTTTCTTTTCCTTACAGAATATCAGTGGTTGTTTCCGTTGTAGGGAAACTAAACTCATTTTCACTTGCATTATTGGATAACATACAAATAAAGAAGGAAAATCTTTCCAATATTACGGTTGTTTATGTATTTTTCATAATATACCATACTAATGAAACAATCAATTATCTGTGCCACAATTATTAACTAATCAAGTTTTCCTTATAAAATGGTTTAAAATTACAAAGGAAAAAACAAAACAAAAGCAGGCTGGCTTTCATCAAAATGCCATATTTACTCATTTATGTCAATCTTATATGTACTTGTTGATTTCAATGAGATCCTGAAGAAAAATTCTCATTAAAATGATTCTGTTACAATGGAAACTTGAGCTTCCAAAGTCCTTGTGAGAATTAATATATAAGACATGTAGTTTCATTTAATTATAATATTTCTCCAGATACCATGTAAGTAAATTTTAATATTTTATTCATCTAATCCAGCATATTCAATTTTGTATCTTTGAGAATTAATGTTTGATTCTTAATTGTAACAACTCATTTCCAAACAGGAACAAGAGAACATTGAATTAAAAATTATCAAAATGTTCACAAAAAAGTCAAAGAAAATTCATTATCTTTAGACCTCTTAATATGACTGTAGAATTACCAATTAGTTTATCCTATTTAAGGACATTGTCTAACTGAACTTATATGAACTTCGCTGGATCAAAGCATAGCTTTTGTTGTCCAAAACTATGAATTTTTCTAAAATGGATATTAGTTCATAGACATTATTGGATTCAATATTATTGATTTCCAGTCACCTCAGTAAGTTGTAATGATTAGTTCCATTGAATGGCAATCCTTTGCATGGTTATTGCTTTTTAAGTTTCATTCTTTGGATTATCTGTTTATATTCTTGTTTTTGTTCATGGCTGAAGCTCATATTCTTCTTTTGAAATTTGCTTAATATTAATAGCAATGTTATCATCTTGATGTGATTTCTTTTTGCCACCTGCAAAGAAACATTAAAATACATCTTTTCATTAAGCAAATATCACTTTGTTTATCCATTAAATCAAATATATTTAGTATTCATATTATTTTAATGATTAATAAGGCAAAATGTATATTGTCTCCTTCTTATATTTATAGTAATGTTGTGTTTATTCCACATTTTCTGGATACTGAACTATATACTATTAAACAAAAGAATTTGATTATTATATTTGTGTTTCTTAAAATAAATAGTTACAAATAAATAGTAATTATTTGATTTAACTGGCTATTGAACATAAAATGATAAGTATATGAGAAGACTATACAAAAATTTGCAATCATTTGGGAAATTCATGTAGCTCAAGTGGGATTTGGATGTTCACAAATCATTAAGTGTGCATGATATAAAAGATAAAATACCTGTAATAAGCTTCACAGGTTCAGATGTTTTTACGCCCTTCTTTTCAGCGAAACCAAGACTTGCGCTGACTTTGTAGACAGGCAAGGGGATGACTGTGGAGGAGACAGGTACCAGCGCTAGAAAAGAAACTTCAAAATGTAGATTCTCCATTTTTTGAGCATTTTAACGTAGGAGTAAGTTGATTAACAGTTTCATCACACACTTTTGCAAAAATTAATGTAGGAGAGTAGAATAGTTAACAAAAACATTTTTCTACAACTTGAGAGCAACACACAATGCATGAATGTAGTTTTATATATTATATCTTATTCTGTATTTCATTATTTTTACTACACTTTTTATTTCTGATACATTTTATTTACTACACTTTTTATTTCTGACACATTTTATTTACTACACTTTTTATTTCTGATTTATGAAACCGATATTTTCTTCTCATTTCCTCAATTTTTCAGGAGAGTAAAACATTCCTGTATGCAAATTTTTCATGAAAAATTAAAGCCTTTTTTAAGAAAATGTATATTTTTTTATGTGTGTGTGTGTGTGTTTGTGTGAGTTTGTTTGTGTGTGTGTTTGTTTGTGTGTGTGATTGTTTGTGTGTGTTTGTTTGTGTGTTTGTTTGTGTGTGTTTGTGTGTGTGTGTGTTTGTTTGTTTGTTTGTTTGTTTGTTTGTTTGTGTGTTTGTTTATTTGACATCAAAAAAATGAAAAAAACTGCCCTTCGTGACGCGGGACGCGGGAACATGGATCTCCGGAAGACGCGCACAGATAGTGAAGTACCTCCAGAACTCGTAGGTCCAGAAGCTTCGATTGTCGATTGTTTGATGTCATGGGGCAATGTTGTTGTAGAATAATGTATAAGAATTGTATAAGATTTTTTTTTTTATAAAGTGAGCTGCTGATACTAACACCTGATGAAAATGATCACGCCGTTGAGTGTTATGGTTATAGACATCTGTATTCTCAGAAACGATGTTCCCAGCCTTTAGAAGTTAAGTTTTTGACAAAAAAAAAAAAAACTGATTCGTAAATTAAGAGGAAAGGCAACCGCAGAATTCCTAGCTTTACAAAGAAAGTCTTACAATAATCACGTGGCCGGGATGTGCTTGTTATTCGTACCTACAGTTCTTTTCTGTAATCTAAAAGTCATAGAACCGTACGAAGTGTTCCAATGGATGTTCCATTTGAGGTTTGACTGAATTAAGAGACCCCAAAATGCTTTTACCTAACGTCAGTCAATGGCCCATCGTTTATTTTCATCAGAGTGTACAATTGTTTATTTGAAATGCAAAACTGCATTGAAACAGTTTCCTTGTCGTATTCTGTTAATTCGAAACATCTGATGTACTATTTACTGTTTCTTTGTTGCAAAGAATATTCGTATCATCCGCAAAGAGAACAGTTCTTGTTTCGAATCGTCTAGGGCATATCATTTACGAATAGTAGGAAGATAATAGGGCCTCCAATAGAATCGTGCGAGACCCCATGTGCAATTTAAGGAATCGTAAAGGTTTGTATATAATATCTCATTATTCCAGTACGGTACTTCTACTCTCTGAGATCGTTGTTTAAGATAGGAACATAGCAATACCATAAATTCCATTCGAAATTTTGAAAGTAATATGTTATGATTAACGACGACAAGCTTTTGAAAGATCTAAAAATACCCCATTAGGTGCTTCATTTTGATCCACGAATAAAGCAATATCTTTATGAAAAGAAAATACGGCTGATTCCTTGGATTTTAATTTTCTAAATTCTTCCTAAATCCTAAATGTTGTTTGAGCGTTTCTGAAAATAAACAATTTTGAGCTCATTTTCACTAAAGTCTACAACTCTCTTCACGAGCTGATTTTCTTTGTATGTTCCCATATCGAAACGATGCCACCTGAACGTGTTACCTCGTGTAGTACATGTAGCCCAGTAACATTGGGGCTATAAAAGCTCGTAAAATCAGAAAGTGTAATATCCGGCCTGCTCATCTGAACTGCCGCGAAGGAAGCCGATGTGACCGCAAGTCATTCGTCGGTGTCCTGAGAGTAACGTACGCTGTTCTCGGCCACAGCCGCAGGCAGTAGATAGAACAAGAGGGTGCCTGCACGCGCATTGCTAGAGATGGTACATTTTAGCAATTGCTAAAAAAAATGAAACGTTACCAAACACTGCAAAATTAGTAATTGTATGTTTGACGGTCCGTGCAGTGTATTTCTGAAGGTTTAAAATTTGCGATGAACTGAGAAATCAATCGCAAATTGCGAAATCATGTATAAAGTGCGAAATTGTCTTGGATCAGCGAAATAATGGCTAAATTGCATTTTTTTAGTTTTCTTCGGGTTTGATCTCTAAGGTCACCATCAACATATCGATGATTGAAAACATTTAATTTGAGTGGCCGTGTTTATTAATTTATAATTAAAATTTAACTGAGTAAACAAATTTAAAAAAACAATAAGAGCAATTAAAAAAGTGATCCTGAATGCCTGAGCGCTCAGGGTCTTCTCAGTTCGCTGTGAGGAGAAGGTCAAGCGAAGAGGAAGACCCTAAGTTTAAGGTTACTTGTGCACTTTACGCTTCTTGCCTTTATTTTTGTTGAAGTTAACAAATGGCGAAATAATAAATTCGTTTAATGCTTTTTTTTTTAGATTTTCTTGTTAAAAATAGGAAATAAGATAAAGTATTTTTTATCTCAAAGATTCTACCTTTAATCATAATTTTCTCAATAAATGCTACAAAATGCTAAATCTTAACTTTTATAATGCTGTACAATTCTGTAGCATTGTTTCCAAAATGAGATTTTTAGAAAATTTAAAGTGCTCTATTCTTCTATCACTTCTAATCGCGCTTCGATGGACAGGTAAATCGCACTACTATTACTCGCGCAACTTTTCTTGAACAATGGATTGCAGAAATGCGGGTAGAGTGGGGGGTATTGGTTACGAAATCGACCTCTAGATTTTATAAAGCAATGCTAATCTCTGGAGAATAAGCCATGCCTTCGCTAGTTCTCAATAATTTGCGTTCTAACTTTCTCAGGTGTTCGACGTATCTCCTGTAATAGATCATTACCTGTTTTGGTCATTTCTTTAGATATTTGGACTAAAAAATTGATACAAGTTCTCGTCTTCACAAGAAAATTGCTTCTATTTCGCTCCAGTGAAGATGTGTTTGGAACGTTGTCCTTAGTGCACGCCGCGAACTTTTGTCTTCAACTGTTTATTGTGGCGAAGAGGGGGGGGGGAGAAAGGTCATCGTTCAAGAAAAGTTGCGCGAGTAATACCCTTCGCTGGCGGCTCAGCCAATGAGGGGCCCCGAAGGGAGAGGCGCGGAAACGCGCTCCGCCGCATCGGGGTCGCCCGGAGGAGAAAACGCCACGGCGCCACCGTCGCTTGATGGAACATCGAGATTCTGAACGCCGTGAAGTGAAAATGGGGTAGTGAAGTGTGCTTGAGTGAGTGAACATGCTCTGTACATACACATTTATGAGCGAATGTGACTATGAATGGAATTAAAAATAGAAAAACAAAGAACTTTAAGAAAAACTGTATAAACACAATTACCTAGATATTCTCCAACTTTTGTACAACACGCCCAAAACGGCTGCTGTAAAACAGTTATAAGTTAGATATAGTTTAGTTGTAAGTGGTTTATTTAAGTTAAAAGTCCTTCCACAGACTCTCCTTCGTTCTTCGAAAAAAGAGAAAGTATTGTAAGCGGCGAATTTAAACAGAAAAACCTTTTTGCCGGGCCCTGGTAACGAAAAAAGGAATAAATTTGATTCCTGTATATTGTAAATTACTTCCTGTAACTCGTTGTGTAGTCAGAATCCGTTTTGTAGGTCCTTGATACCGAAAATCGATTGACATCCAGCTAGTACATACTACATACTTGTTCAATTAGTAGCATAGAGTGTAAGTTGCAACGGAACTGTGCGTATGATGGCTGTTAATCATTCGCTCAAATCAATTGCGCGTATGGGTGCCGGTGCGGCTTTTGCACGGGGACTTGGAAGCGTCAAGTTGGTGACGTCACGGCCAGGCGCGTGGATGGAAGGGAAGGGTGGGGGAAGGTCGCTCCTTCAGCCACGCCCCCGCACTCGCAGACTGTGACTGCTGAGGACTGTTAAATGGCGCTTCGATGAAAATCAATATACCGTTCGGTAGGAAGTTTCCTGATACAGCACATTAAACATGAGAAAATCTAAAAACAGCAGATTCGCTCCAACTTAGATGCCTGTGCTTCCAATGGATAATTTGTGCGTGCCTGAGATGTCAAAATCACTTTTCTAAATGGGCGATGTGAGAAGAAAACCACGAATTTTTATTGAACTTGATTTTTCTTACAGGCAAAGGTGGCTGCAAGATAAAACGTTTCTTATTATTCCCGTGCAAGCCTGCGAAACACGGACTCCACAGAAATTCGTAACAAAAGTCAAGATTTGTAGGTCACGGCCGAAAATGATCTATTGCACATTTTCCGAAACGCTTCGCAGCTAGGTAGTAAGAAGCGCAGTACCTGGCTCCAGCTTATCGTTCTCGTTCACCATGTAGATGGTGGGCCTGGCGTGGACGGCGTGCAGGCCCAAGAGGCAGGCCGCCGCGACGAGGACGGCGACGGGATGCATTGCGAGCAGCGGCGAAGGGAACGATGCTCTCCGACGGTCCTCACGCGCGGGCTGTGGGCGAAAGTGCGGGCGCCACCTGCCTCTGCGAGCGACGGCCACGAGACGGCGCAGGTGAAAGCCGCTCTTCGACGCAAGGAGCCAAGGCCTCCTGCAACCAAGTTTGCCGCCGCCCACGGCCGGCCTCTGCTTCTGCCTTTTTCTCCCAGATCGCGCTAGTGTAAAGCATGACATCATCTCATCGATGTAAACATGTTCGTTTGTTTATCACTTTACATTTTCTAATTAATTTCAGAATTGTAAAAAATATGATTTCAACATTTTTTTTTACAATTCCACACATTTCAAAATTTGATCTCCTCAATGTGAGTTTTATGTATCGAAACATCTCGTTTCACTTTCATTCCAAATAAGAAGATCCTGTTACAGTGAACCTGATCATCGGTTATAGGAAATACGACATGGAAATTAATTCCCTCTTGAAAAATAATATATCTCCTTAGTGAGTTCTTGGCTGTCCGGGTGACGCCGCGTCGTCGGGTGATAGGCCGACGTTTCGCCTGTCATTTCGCACGCTTCCTCAGGGTAGTGACAACTACCTGAGGGTCGCCAGTACCCTGAGGAAAACTGCTACATGACAGGCGAAACTTCGGCCTCTGAGCCAACGACGCGGCGTCACCCAGACAGTCAAGAGCTCATGAACCCGAGCCGCGTTACGTGTATATCGCCTCAGTGTCACAAAATCCAACACTATACAGCTTCAAAAGAACATCGGCTAAAGGTCATAATGGAAGAAGTCTCCCCTGAGGTGAACGTAGCGGACCCGGAATGAGGACCTTCCTGACGATCTCATACCACTCAGTTTCAAGCTTGATGTTACGTGATATTCCGCGTGTCAAAACGCGTTGTATTCAACAAAGGCGACAAGAGGCGCTCGACTGCCTTAGCCCCACAGCCTCCCGATACCCACCATGCTGCGCGGAAAAGCGGCCAGTTTCATCTGCCGGATGCGCCTTGCCGCTTCGGAAAGGATCTCGAATGCTAGTAGGTGAGTAAAAAGGCCTTCGAAGAGAAGGGGTTCCAACAGTGCACGAGGCATTGAAGGGTCTTGCATTACGATACTTGGAGACAGTGGACAATGCAAGATCACTTACGCTGAAAGCACGAACTCTGGAGAAGTCTCTAGAGAAATTAGTCGCTAATGAAAAATGTACGAAGCAAACAATTGAAAATAATTGATTTTTTAAAGGGCAAATAAAGATATTGAAATTTTCAGTTCGTGCTGACAACGTATTTTCTTTATATCTACGTATACTATTAATATACTCAATAATTGTAAAGAAATTCTATTTAATATTTTCATCCTCAGAAACAGTGAGTCTCTGCTACAATGAACCAGAAATGTTCATACACAAGGAAAGGTGACGGTTTTCAAAGTTTATAAGAAATCATAGGTACAAAACTCGTAAGAGAATGACTTCTGGATAGGGAAATACGTACCTTACGATGATACATCAAAGAGGAAACGAAAAACAGAAGTTAGTAGATTATGGCATATTTTGTCAATCATGCAGACATGCAACCCGCAACACATTGCAGTTCAATGCCCTTTATATTTACGTATTTATCTATTTACATAAAAAACAGTTAAAAACTGCGTTGACGTGCTATGGGGAGAAGTTAATTTGAAGTTACATTTATGCCCAGAAGCAAAACAAGGGGCCATCTCAGCATTTGATCGAGGATCAGGGAAACTGGGCGAAAACCTGATCGGGAAGTGGGACTTTGCCATTTTGCCACACTTTTGAGCGTAACTCCGAATGCCACTTAGATGCGTCATGGCGCCTTAAACCAAGTTTGCGAGTCCCTGCAAGGAACACATGTTAGGTTTGTTGTGATATTATCTACAAAATGAGACATTTTTAAACGTTCTGTGGTAATTGTGGAAGGTTTCCTCATTTTCATTGTTCGACACGCGCTCAGAGTTGGAATTAAGTGTGAATCTCTTTTCATTTTTAAAACAACGATATAAAAAAATACTTTTTTGGAGATTTTTTTTCACATCTTCGGTGTCCCTTTATTACTATTAATAAATAAAAGTCTCTGGCGCCCCTAATTATAATAGTAATAAAGGGTCACCAAAGATTTGAGGGGTTTGGAGCTCTTGGGTACCCCCACTCCAAAGCGTTTGAGGGTTGGTGTGAATCGAGGAGAATATCGAAATCTATGTCGCATTAAATTGATCCGTCATTAGGCCCGTCATGAAGGGCATATAATGCGTAACGAAGGGTTCAAGGGCTGACCGTCCGCGAGATCCTCCGGTGCGATCTAGAATTATCCAATTTAATTTCATTTTTAAAGCAATAATTTACAAAGGGCGGCATGTTCGCACATCCTAGCTAAATATTATTCGTGTTACTACTCATTTCTGAAGAAATGGCAAAGAAAGAACGCGCACTGTCCCCTCCATTCGCATAGCCATTGCGTTGTTTGGGGCGCACCAAACCAGATAAAATATTTCTGCTACTGTACTGTCATGGTACAAAAATAATATAGTAGGTTGATACGTACGGCGCGATTATGAATTTGAGGTACCTGTTCATGTTTGTTTTATATCTAAAATTATTGAAACTAGAACAGCACTTTCTTGTACTACTAACGATTACATTATATCATTACTGCAATACTGCAAATTCTTCCCATACGAAAACATCTTAGTCATTACTTGTATAATTTCTTCAGAATCGATGGAAACAATATGTCAGAATGTAATGACCTCAGCAGCCAAAAACAAGTTGACATTTCTTACCAATATATAAAACAAGGAAATATAATTAAATACTAACATTGATGTGTACAAGAGAAAAACAATCTATAAGTACTTGTATGTCCATCCCTGGACTATTTTTACTTTTTCGCAATAACTTCGTAAGAAGAGAAAACATTGTAGTCGTGCGCAGGAAAACGACGAATTTTCGACAGAAAAAACTTATTGCTGGGCTCTGGTAACAAAAAAGTGCATAAATCTAGTTTCTGAAGATAGTAAATTACTTTCTCTAAAACCTGGAGTTAGAATCCATGTTTTGTTGGTCCTTGATACCGAAAACTACATTGACGGCAAAACGTCTTTCTGTCTGTTTGTCATTCGTCCATTCGTGTGTGGTTAATGCTAACGCCTAAAACGTTCAGCCGATTTCTCCAAAACTGATATTCGTCGATCAATCTGATTGAACTCGAGGCGTTGTGAGTTTGAACAAATATTTTGATTTTCCGGGTACTTTATATGAAGCTTCATTATTTTTAAAATTTTGTCTACAAAATTTAGTATCCAAAATGTTTGACTAATCACACAAGAACTACTCTGAGAGCGTTAAGAGAAAGGTGTCATTTCCGTTGAAATCTCTGAATTGTCAAAAATTGCATAAGTTCCAATTTTTTCGGAGCCTTGCAGATAACGGGGGGGGGGGGAGGCAGCTGTCGCCTCTGATATTGCGCCCGCGACCTTGCCGCCACTGTTCATTTCACAAATACGAATCGAATGGAGGAAATATCTGAAGGTCATTATACGTACTTCAAATAATCGGACGACTTCTAATAATTCTGGACGATGACGACTCTGTTCCCGGTTTACCCCAGTAACCTCGGCTATCCAGATCGGCCCTTAATAGCTGTAAGTAGTGGGCAGGTATTAATGAAATGTCTTTTTTCTTTTAAGTTTACAACAACGAAGTTTTATACTTAACTTCACGTTGTTATGAGAAAAGGAAATGAACCATTTTTATAGGTTTTTTTTTTTTTTTTTTCGTTTTTCGTCGATTACGACTAGTAGGTCATTTTTTACCTTTTATTTTTAAGTCATTTTTCGCTGATATAATCGATTTTAATATATTTTTAATAGTACTTGCTTCTAACGATATTTACGAGGTGCAACAAATGTTCATCAAAGGATTCCTGAGTATCCTATTCGATTCCTTCGCTCATATACTGTAATGTCAGCCGATGTTGATACTGTGTAATCTAAGATTTCTGTGACACCTATCAGCGCCTTTGTCCGTTCGCCCGATTTCGCGATAAAGGCAGAGATTTTATTTTAAAGAACAGTCCAAACTAAAAGTTTGCAAGCTGATTTCAATTGAATAAAAGGAAGAAGCCTCGATTACATCAGAAACATAACCCACAGCTTGAGTTGTTCATGTGACGTGGTTTTGATCAATTTTTACGTAATTTTTCTTTATTTTTAGAGCATTTTAAGAGCATTTTATTGATCATTTTTGGCTATGGTTCAGATTATCGAAACCCAACCCTAACTATTAGATTAAGATATTTTAATAATTTGCAAACTTTAACAAAAATTTTTTTTCTAACAAAACTCAGAAGCTAATGAACTGAATACGTTTTCCATGTAGCACCATATTCCAAAACGCTAACATCAACTACCATGTTTCGAAATACCTTCACAGCCCTGATTTGGATTTGAAAACAGCGCAAAATTTACTTATTAGACTTAAGAAGAATAATTCTTCATAATTCAATTATAGAAGTCTGTTGGGAAGCACTATGATGATTTGAAAAATGATTCAATAGAATTATCCAAAGTCTGGAAAATAGAACTGAAAGGATACCCTCGAATAAGCTGGTAAAAAGTTGCTTAAAACCAAATGACATACGAGTAGTTACACTATAACTCTAACGTAAAAATAATATTTTTGGAAGGTTTTTTTACCGCCGTCCCACAACCCACACTCATCTACAGCCAAAACGTGTCTTTTATTTTAATTTTTTCGGCAACTTAACACTATTTTACCTGTCTGAAAAATGTGATAAATAAGAAAAAAAGCATTTTTTGATATTATCTCAGTGCCAAATTAAATCGAAAAAAAAATTAAAAAACAGAAAATATTATTAGTGTTGTTGAACCCTGAAACAGGCTCGGAAAAAGATGAATGTTGTAATTTTTAAATACACTTTGAAAATAACTGTCACAATTCTGTGCGTTCATTTTAGTGTTTATTATACAATTGTATACGTTTTTGTAGCACCCAACATTTTGACATTGGAATGAAGTTACAAATTGTCGGTGTTTTTAGCTTTAGCGATAAACGAGTGAAGAAAATGAAACGACATTTTGACGGACTTTGCGAGGAACATCTCACTGATGGCAAACTAAAATACAAACTTATGTGTTTACTATGGATGCCTAGACATTGACATTAATCACTTGGAGAGAAGATTTGTTGGATTGAAAAATACAGTGGCAATTTTCACAGTGATTCAGCCACAAAATTTAATAGCTCTTTCAGACGATGACATTTTCAAAGAAGCACAAAAATTTCAATTAAAATACCCTGCAGATGTTGTGGAAACTTGACTCAGTTATTGTCTTTGCAGATTTGTTTAGCGAGTCAAACTAAGATCTGTTAAAGATCTTGAAATTATTGATAATTGAACATTGCTCATTTATTAACAAGTTTTCCTGGCGTTTGTACAGTATTTCCATTATTTTTTACACTTCCTGTCTCTGTCATCAGCACCGAAATAACCACTCCGTTTTCAAAATTAAAGGTAATTAAAAATATTTAGGATAAAAAATGGCACACAACCATCTGGGTATTTTAAGTATTTTATCAACTGAGCACGAAGAGACGATGTGATTGAAATTTAATATTTCTACCGTCACTGATAAATTTGTAAATCTGAAGAAAAGGTTAAAAAAATAAATTTTAAGTTATATCATGAAACTGCCAAAATGATAATTTATTTTCTGAAATAATTTATTGTAAAATAGGTTTTTACTGCTAAAATTTTAGTTTATAATCATAAAATTAAATTAATGACATGTCCTTAATTAGGGGGACCCCATTTTATGTCGGGCCAAGGGCTCTGTTGAACTTACGCCACTGATGTGAAGGCTCACTATCATAAGAGGCGCAGTGAAAGAGTTAACGCGAGGGCGCGGTAATACGTGCCCGGAATGCATTCCGGATACAAAGTGCTCTTGCGAAGCACATAATTTGAAAGAACAAATCAGAGGAGGAGTACTACGAAATGTGACATCTTGAACTGTGGCAGCTATTTTGGCATCTTGAACCACCGCCGCCTCACTTGCAGCCCCGTTGGGAGAGGGCGGTTCGCTGCAATTAACTGCACCGAAACGATCCATAGAAACGACGAAGGGGGGGGGGTACTCTAGAGAATGTAGACACATTAATTAGGTCAGGAATAAGACCAAAAAAAGACAAACCTTAGAACAAGAGAGTGACGTTGGCCGCTACAGGAAGCGGTGGTTTGCTTGACTACTGCGAAACTGGCAACCCCGACTGACTAACAAACGTAACAAACCGAAAGAAATACACACGTGACCGGATCGCAGGACGTCACCGCCAATTACAATAAGCGGCACAAGGCAAGGCGTACTTACTTACTCGAGTTCCTACAGAAAAGCCCTACGAAGTAGAATTGTGAAAAAAAGTTCCCTAGAAAATCGCGGTGTTACGCTAATGCGAGCAATTACAGTCAGCCGTTTTAGGACTTGGCCTCAAGTACGTCTCGCGGCGCTGCACAGCGCCGTGATAGCTCGGCGAGGACACGACGCGGTGACCTCTGAGTTTAAATGACCGACGAACAATTTCGGGATCACGGAAGTGTGTGCCGCGGAGGGTCAGAACCTAAGAAACCGCGACCCGGCTCAGAAAATGTTCGTGGGAAAGGCAGCAAAAGCAAAGAGCGACCTCAGCAGTTGCCCCGCAGGGCAAAATACAACCTTCGTTATTCAATTTCTTCATCCTGGTAATACTATATAAATGCCCGACTGTGTGATCGGTAAATTAAGATAGTTTTTTATTCAAAATGTTATGGTCGAATGCGTCGTGTTACAGATTATGTAAAATGACTCACGTAAACTCAGCTCATGGTGCTATACGATTTTATTCGTTTTAATGACTATCCGAAAATGTTTTTCGGAGTAGAGAAAAGGTGCTGCGCAAGAAAGAAAAAACAAGGGTAGCTTCAGCAGAAAAGCTCATATTACAGGGCCCTAGCAATGTATATGTGGTTAAATTCAGTTGCTAAATTTAGAAGAAAAAATTCTCTAACACGTGGTGTAGCCAGAATGTTTTGTAGGTTCTTGATACAGACAAAACGAATGACGGCAAAACGTATGTCTGTGAACAACGTTCGGCAGATTTTCTCCAAAAATCGTTCGGCAAATTTTCTCCAAAATCGATATTCTCCATTCTATCTGGGTGATATCGCAGCCCCTGGAATTTGAAACAGATATTTAATTTTGGGAGTACTTTACATGAAGCACGTGGGACATTTTTCAAATTTTCAAACAATGTCTCCATTTTTTATTTTTTGTTAGATAATGTGAACGACCTTTAAGAAAATGGTGCGGCACTCTTGTTCGTTGAAATCCCTGATTTTTGGAAAATTGTAGAAGTTTAAAACTTTTTCGGTGCCTTTTAGTCTATAACTAAAACAAACCTACAACCAAAAGTATTAAAAACAGAGATTGTTTTCCCTTAATGGAATCTGTTCCTTAAAGCTAGATTTTGAAATAAGATAATTTACAATTTTTCGAAAATTTTAGAATATTCCGCGTAAGTTTGCGTCAAGTATAGGCAATTTTTATTTTGTTCAACATTTTTTTCTTTCAAAATCGGCTCCAACGTTTTTGATGAAATTTTGTTGGTGGATAGTCTGAATGACGATTAAGATAGTGATGTAGGTTTCAAGTTGGTTAAAAATCCTGATATTTGAAAATTGAAAAAAATCAACTTTTTCGACGTATTCCTTTTCGAGAATTTGCGTCAGAATTTTCGGAACAAATTGAAAATTATCTTATTAGAGAAAAACGCTAAAGAATAGCTTACGGGTGATATTGTATGTACATTAGCAAAAAAGCGCTTAAAATGGGAGTACTGCTCGCATTATCGATACCTGCTATACCCTAAAAAAATGGAAGTCTGGAAGCATAATTTATTGTAATATTTTTTTAGAATTGCTAGGAACATGTGTTATGATTAAATAAATTATTTCCATTAGAAATTTCCTACTATTTTAATATTTCGAATGCGGAAAAATTGGTGCTTCTCACGAAACATCGTTTGAGTCCGCGATGCGTTTAAAATCGTTTTACGTTCATTGTGTATTACTTGTAATATCTAGAAGCGTAATTGGCAAACGGTCCTTCAAATGATGAATTTTGTTAACGCAGCTAAACGTACCGTTTCAAGTCACCGAGTGACTAACTTTTCTGTGATCCGGCAGTTCTAGCGTGGGTCCGAAGGCGCCGCGCATCCTGCGCGACACCGGCCGCGAGGCGAACAGCGACGCGCATCGATTCAACCTATGGGAAGGTCCGATGCGCGTCGCCTTCTCCTTCCGCGCGCTGCCCCACGACACGCTTGCTGCGTCGTGCGAGCGAGCGGAGGCAGCCGAACGCGAGGGGGAAGACGCGCGGGGAACGCGACGCCGCGCCCCACCTGCCACGCCTCCAAATGGGCCCGAGCGCCACGGACACATTGAGCCAAGGCAGTGCCGTGGCGAACAGCGTAAAGTACTGAAGTGCGAATGAATGGTTATGTATGTATTGAAGCAAGTATGAATGATGTGTAAATGTTGAGAGAGAAAAAAAAATCTCACACATGTATAATGATAAAAAATTCTTACTAATTAATAAAACCCATCTTAGTGTAAGTTAGGAATGCTAAAGTGCAAATAATTAAACTTTAGTTCTAGAATATTACAATTAGCTGTAAGATAAAACCCCTCCTCTAGCTGCTGAAGCCGCAAGGCAGCAACCTAATGTATAAATTAAAAGAAATAAATTCCCCTTCTCCACAGGGTTACTGTGGAGGGGGCAAAGAAACAGTTCTTTTTAAGTATTTTTCCATTATAATGTAAGTTATACCGTAACTAATGCATGATATTTGTTTAATGCCAAGTGTAAACTGTGAAAAAAAGTGAACCTGTTTTCTCGACCAAATATTTTCTGTTACATTCAATATTATTAAATTAATTTCACTTTTCTGTCATCTGTTGTTTTAATGTTGGTACCATTATCAAAAAAGTATTGGTTTTTTGGGCAACAGGACAATTTTCATTACAAATGTATAACGCTCAAATAAATGCAAAGAGCTGTTTCAGCCATTTTCAAAATGTATGTGAATTAAAATGGTAAAAATGTAGTTCTTTTTTTTTTTTTAACTACAGGTGAGCAATCAAAAAAATCAAAAAAAACGTTTCACCTTTTGTGTTTTCAGAAGAACTTATAAGCTTTTTCAAGCCTGTTCCTGGTTTCTAAGACAATAAAAATTATTTTTTGTAATTAAAAACAAAACAAAAAACCTTTGCGTTTGAATTTGGCGCTGAAAATATATCAAAATTATTTCTGATAGTATAAATTATTATGTTATTTTTCGTATTTTTTCAATAAGATAAAAAAGTGTTAAGTTAAAGAAAAACTTAAAATAAAAAAAACAAAACATTTCTTGCTGTACAGGGATGTGGGTAGTGAGACGAGGGCTAAGAAATCTTTCAAAAATATTATGTTAATGTTAGAATTAGTGTAATTACTCGTACGCCATTTGGTTCTGAGGAACTTATTACATCTTATGAAAGGGGACCCTTTGCCTCTCCCAATAAAAGTATCGAAATCCCGCCTCTGGATGTCCCGATGCTTCGTGTCATTGATGCAGTGGTTCGAGCAGTGAGTTCAGTGGGCAGCAGACTGCCTATGGGATATTTTTTTAAATGTTATTTATGTGTGTCCCACTTTGAAATTTGGCATATCTATACAGCATTTGTGTAGTAATACATGAGTATTTTTTACAATTAATTTAAGTGTCGACCTAACGTAAACATTGGCATTTTAAAAATTAAAATAAATTTCAAATATTTAAATAGTATGTTTACGAACATCATTTTTACAGGCCATTTTTTCAAGTTATATTTAAGTGTAATTTTATTTTTCTGGAGGAAACAGTATTTGTGCAAACAAAAATTAAACATTAGTGCACACATGATTTTTTGAAAATAATAAAATAAAATAAAATAAAAATGAAAGAAGAAAAGGAAAAAAATGGTAGTATTTCTGAAAGGGGTGGGATTAGAAAAGAAAACAGAAAAAAATGTGTGTCACCTTTTTTAGATCTAGATCTGGTAACAATATTCATGTCGCTAAAAAATAGTGATATTTTGTGAGTGTGCGATTTGATGTGGAATGACTCATGAACGGTTAAGGCGCTTGTCGACCATGGACGGACGGACAGACAAACATTTAGCTGTTAATTGATTTTTGGGTATCAAAGACTCACCAAATGTAAATTCTGTCATGGAGGAAGTAATTTACTACAAATAGAAACAAGATTTATCCACTTCTTCGTAACTAGGACCCGCAATGAGAGTTTACCTGTTGAAAATTCGTCGTTCTCCCAGCAGCATTACAATACTTTCCCTACACTGCATGCGCAGTAGTGAGAAAGTAAAAATGCAAAGGCGTCCATAAAAGAAACAAGACAGGGAAATAAAGAAAGGAAGGGAGAAGCAGTACTGATCGTGTCAAATGCTGCGTTTTCTCTCTTGTTTTTGTATGCGAGAAACTGCATGAGACTGCAACAAGAAAATCCCTTGAAATGGGGATGCACTCAAGAAAGGGGCGAATCGATACTCTGCTGCAAGCGTATTGACTGATAGAAACTTTCCTTTATGTGTGCGCTCTTTTTCGGGATGTCTTCTCTGGTCTTCTCAGATATCGGCAGTCAGATCGTTTAACAATCATAGGCTTGCTACTCGCTTGTTACAGTACTTTTAAACAGAGATGTAACCCATTAATCTTTCTAATGTTGAATATAAATGAGTACCATTAGCTTAAATGACGCAAAACACCTATTCAAAATTGGAAGCTGCTCCAGAAAAACAAAACGTTTTATGAAAAATACACGTGAAATGACAAAATTAATACAAAAAATTACTGATATTGAATTTATTACTTGGAATGTAAACCACGGTATACACAACCAAAAATAAAATTGCATACTCTGCCTGAAATAAATAGTTATTAGAATACATGAAATTATTTGTAAAAATGTCAAGTCTCATATTAATGTTCCTGCTCTCCTGTACATTTTTAAGAGGTGTGGTTACCCAATCTTCCTGAAAATTCATGTTCTTGTGAGTCTTGTGCCTACTGTGGGCTAAAAGGTACAGAGTAATAGATGATCTGTGGTCAGCATTAAGCCCACACAATATAAAAATAGTCCTTTAAAATGTAATGCAATGATGATGCATCCAGAATGTGATCTTTAATATTAAAAAAAAAAAATAGTACTTTGGCAAGCAATGTGGTCGGTACATTTCAATAGCTTTGAAAAAATTGAAAAAAATTGACAAACACTCGGCTCTTTAGACGCCATTTTTATTCATACGAAGGTTGTTTGATAAATCAGGTAGATTTTTATGAAAGCGTGTGCATTGTTTTTAAACCTGTGCCTTGCATGATTCTTTGTAGGCAGTTGTTTGAATTTTCAAACAAATGCGACAGATAGTTAATTGTTAGCAACCAGCTGAATGTGTGAGTTTGATATGCTGCCTAGAAGATGAAGAAAAACAAGTTTCGTGCTGCGATTAAACATTTTTATTCGAAGGGCTGGACAGCATCGCAGTTCAAAAATGAATTGGATGAAAACTCTGGACCCGCATTGAAGACAATTTACTTCTGGATTAATGAGTTCAAACATGGTCACACAAGCTCAGAAGATGAAGTGTGCTCTGCCGACCAGTTAAGGTTGGCTTTATTTTAATTAGAATAAACGATTAACACAGACATTTATTAATATACTATTATCATATTTGTAAAATTATAAATTGAAGGTCACCACACCGAAAACCGTGGAAAAAGTGCACGTTCTGGTAATGGAAGATCGCAGAGTGAAAGTGCGTGAGATTGCTGATGTTGTTGACATCTCAACCAAAAGAGTGCACTTCATCATGCACGAAAAACTGAGCATGAAAAAGATGTTCGAGGTATGGGTGCTGCGATTGTTTACTTTGGATCGAAAACTGACTCGAAAGAATATTTCAAGGCAAAATCTGACTATGTTGAGGCGAAATCAGCAGGACTTTTGGCGTAGATTCATCACCATGGATAAAACATGGATCCATCACTACACTCTCGAAACCAGAAAAGATTCAAAACAGTGGATAAAGACCGAAGAAGGTGAAGACTGTTTTGTCGGCAGGAAAGGTGATGGGAACGTATTATTGGGATTATCAGGGTGTAGATTGGGTCATCCTTATAGATTATTTGGAAAAGAACAGAACTATAACTGGGTGCTATTACACTTCATTATTGGATAGTTTAAAACAAAAATGTGTTGAAAAACAGCCAAGGTTGTCACACAAGAATGTGCTGTTCTACCAAGACAATGCTCCATCCTACACAGCAGCAGTCACAATGGCAAAAGTGAATCAGTTAGGATTCCAACAGGTTCCTCATCCACCATATTCACTGGATTTAGCCCGGACAGATTTCTTTCTATTCCCCAATTTGAAAATTTAGCTTGGTGTGCAAAAATTTTCATCAAATGAGGAAGAGATTGCTACTGTAAACAGGTATTTCGCAGAATTTGACAATTCCTATTTTTCCGATGGAATGAAAAAATTGGAAACACGCTGGGCAAAGTGTATAGATCAAGAAGGGTACTATGTTAAAAAATAAAGTATTAAAAAAAAAAAAGTTTTCTTCTTCCATTTTTACTAAACTTATCAAACAGCCCTCGTATTTTGTTACTTAGCTCTGCAATAGATGCACAGCTTTTATTCCTTTCCTTAATTATGTAATGTTAGGGAAGTTTTGAAAAAATTATGTTTCTTTATAAGCTTTATTTTAATTAGAATAAACGATTAACACAGACATTTATTAATATACTATTATCATATTTGTAAAATTATAAATTGAATTTCACACCATATATTCTTTCTGAAGAGGAAGTCATATTTCTGCCTCATATACATATATTCAAAATAATGTACTGTTAATGAAGCACGTCCTTAACTCTCAAGTACAAATTCTAAAAATTTTCCAGATGGCATTATTCACATCACATTCAGAAACACACATCTTCAGATGACTTCAACAGAATGGTCTCAGCCTCTTCCCAGCAATATTCAGTTGTCGGATTCAGTTTCCTAAAACACACAACAAATCAGTAACAACTTCATTACATGCACAAAGGGAATATTTTCAATAAACACTTAATCTCAATTTAAAACTATTAGCAGGGAGTGTAATTAACATAACAAAATATTAATTTTATGCACAAAATAAATTTACTATTATATAAATAAAACTACTGTTAGCAGAAAAGTGATTCGGCAGTTTGCAAAAACAAAAGTTAAACAGTGCTGTTGTAGATTAAGCTTTTCAAGAGTCTTTTCAATCAAGCAAAAGATCAAAGGTGTCATTTTGTCTCAACGGTATTTGAGTAAATAACAAGACCACCATTCACTCATTCACACTTGCAATTTGAACTGCTCCTATGCTCTTGATTTTGAAAACAGCTCTTCAAGGACTTTGACACATACATAGATATTAATAAGTCTTTGTTAACTCTATTAAGGGGTCTCATTTGCAAAAGCAGCATAAATATGGGCAATGGTGTTTCTCCGTTGTTGATCAACGAAATATTTAGGACAAAGTAAAAGTACTCAAAATTCTTGGAATGCCCTAACCAAGCAAAAAAAAAACGTATCCCAACAAAATTCTGATTCTTGAAAATTTCTGAAGTTAGTGAACTTTCCTAAGAAGAAAATATATAATTTTATTAATTGAATATAATATTTGTAAAATTATAAATGAATTCCACACTATGAGTTGTCTCTCTCCACAGAAGCTCATTCCTCATTATTCCACAACAGAGCTCCATGATCATGCTTCACTGGCAAGCGCCTTCCTTCCTCAGGGGCCGGGATTGAGGTTAAATAAAAACTTCATAAACATTTTTATTTCACGGAATTTTATTTAAAAAAAACTAGGCGCTTTAACAACACATGCTCTCTCGCATTATTTCTAGCTTTTGTAGTTTTTGAAAATTCTGCAAGTTTAATGAAAACGAGACCTGTCCCATTATTTTAAGCATCTCTTTTTCTGTTCATGGAAAAAATTAGAGAAAAAAATTGGAGCAGATTTTGAGAAAATAAAATAAAAATATATACCTACCGTTGGATCGCAATCAGCACAATGCCATGAATAGCCTCGTCTTTTGGGAGATTTTTTGACAGGTGGATCAAGACACGTGAAATGAAAACACTTCATGCATTCGTCACATCTGAAAGCATCATCAGAAATTAGATCAAAATTTCCAATTGTATTTGTAATAAGCAGTACTGAAATGTATAGAATTCAATGACATAAGCATAATAGAGCCTCTTCGAGCTGTAAATATTTTTTTAGTTTAATTATTACTATCTATTCGTTAAGCAATGAAATTTACTAGTCTGTTGAATAGAATGAAAACTAAAAACAATAAAATAAAACAGAACAGTTTAATTCAATTTATTTGTTGGTGTAAACGTGTCAATTTTATTTAATGTGGCAATATAAAAGTGTTACTATTTCATGTTTGCAGGATATTTCTCATTTTTTACACACAAACTCACTCGATCTGATAAAATATCATTGGCCACAACATGAGATCTAGATGATAAGCAATGTGGATTTTAATTTATTACAATTATCTCTTAAGGAGTCCTGCTCGTCATCCTGCATGCCCCTCTCACCCACTTCTGATATGGAGGTGCAATGGTGAGTATAGTAGGACAGCCCTGAAATAGAGTGCTCAAGTCTGTATTCCTCCGCGGTCACACTGCAAGCTGGCTTCTTACTTTCATGCCTTACTAAGTAGGAATACAAAGTATTGTAATTGTGTGCCAGAAATTGTAAATCTAAAACTGTTCCACTCACTCAGAAACACCACCCCACAGTGATACGTTATTCTGAGAATTTCTAAATCTGATGTCACGGCATTCCCATTGTTGAAATGCTACATGATAACAACTGAAAGTTTCTAACAAAAGAGGTGCAAGAATTTCAAATTTGCAAATTAAAAAATGAAAAATTATGTCACACTACTCATTATCCATTCGCAAAGATCTTCTTTAAGGCCCTTTACTATCTGATTGCACCAGCCTATCTATACCCTTGATCCTAAGGGTTAACGATGGATACGAAAGTAGAGAAGTGATTTTGTAAATTAATATTATATGTATTGTTGCTTTATGTTTGAAAAAGATTAATTTAATAGCACCATTAATATTCTTTGTAATCAATTGGATATTGACAATACCTATCGCCAGTCGATATTTGGTTATGGACTCCCTCAATCAGTAGACGATAAAGCCACTGCAAGATTCAAAATGAAAGCCCTTTTTCACTTCTAAATTTCGTGTTAAATGAATGATAGGTTACTGCAGTGCTGAACCAATTTTTGGCTTTCATATAATACGAAACTCATGTCATATGAAAAACTTGTGATTCTTGTGTTTTTATGTAGTGAATAAATTTCCTGTCATCATATCAATAAAAGTTTGATAATAACTTTTAAAAATATATTCAGTGAATGCATTTATTGTCCTTATAAATGCTGTGATGCCGATTGCTGATTGTCAAGCAAATGGGTGTTTCACTTTTGCACTCTGCACATTCTGTTAGATAGAAGAGTATTGTGCGTTATTATGGATGAATTCAAGAATGCCTACAGCCTTATATGAAGTGACAGGAGCACTGACAGCTAGTAAGAGGACAGCTCAGTGGCTTTAAATCACACGCTTTTGCAGAGGGATACATTCCAATTTGTTTGCATTCACTTCATTCTCTTGTTGGATAAAGAATAATGTCACACAAAATGAAACAGAGGGAGGTGAAATCCCTTGGAGATAGAGTTGCAGTAGAGACAAAAAAAATTAGTTTCAGTTCCAGAGTTTTTTTAATGTTACCAATTATGTTTGAATAGTATTGTTATACAAAATAGTTCAATAAAGTTCTTGGATTTTTTTTAGTGTTTCTGTATTATGTTGTCACTCTTTATTTCGTGGCTTCTAAAATTTTAGGATCTACACTTTGATTAAAATAATAAGTCTGTTGATATGTTATCAGCTGTAACGTTGTCATTCGAGGTCCTGATTGGGTAACAGTGTTACAAGTGACAAAATGACAAAGAACTTAAAATTTTAATCAAAGTATAAACTGCAAAAGAGAAGCTTTAGGTTACTTTAAATGATCCGTGAAATTCAATTTTATAGACAAGGGTGAAAAATATTTTATAACCTTGCAAACTTTCAATATTACACATAACACAGAGTCAATGATTAATTGCAGAGGTTATGCAGATTATAAAAGGAAAGGCACATCTGTTTATACGAAAGAAAAAATAATGCTTACCTAACAAGATTTTGATTAGATCCAGGCTGCCCACACACATCACATTTTGTCATGATATCAACTTCTTTCCCTTTTTTGCTTGCTAATGATGACAGTCGTCCTGAAGACTGACGTGGTTGTGATATAACAGCAGTTGTGGCAGATACAGAAGGAGTCTCTGTACTGGAGGTTGCCACAAACATCTGCGCGTCTGCCATGGAGGTGGTCTCACCGGAAGGCATGGGAATGGGCTTGATCTGAAATGCGTCCATTTTAAATATATACCACCTCGTCACTACTTGTACACTTTCACAGCATCAGGCCAAGTAAGTACCTTAATTTTAATTCGTGGAGTTTCTGTCAGGGGATTTTCCATATCCTGGCTCTTGTGTTTGCGCTTGCGCTTGTGCTCTTTAGTGGGGCTGTTGCCCTGCGAGTCAGGGGAATACCGATGATGCTTTTCTCTCCGACGTTTCTTCCCCTGACGCTGAGAGATATGCCCCTCTGACATAACTTGTGATGTGTTGATTGTAACTGGGGACACAACAAGACGAGGCACAAGAGCAACTGGATTCATCTGGTGCGGCAGAATCTGCTGAATTGGGGTGCTTGCTGGGGACTCTTGTAGCTGCTTTTGTGGTTGGGGCTCAATTGGTTTTATAGTAACCTGCCAAAAGAAAAAAAATCTCCATTACAAACTACCTCCCCTACAATCAAATATATAGATAAAATGACAAAAAAAATGTATGGTTAGCCAAGCACTACAGTCTACATAACAATTTAGGCATACTTCATTTTATTTTTATTTTGAACACCATATTAATTGTCCAAGCAAGCTAGTCTACAAGCAATTTCTGTGTGTGTAAGTGCCTTGGATCTAAAAAGACAGTTATGATTAATGAACTTTCAAAAAATGGTGTAAATATATATATTTTTTTTTTAGATCAAACTACTTTAGGAAGGAAGGAAGAAAGGAAAGAAACAAAGAAAGAAAGAAGGCAAACCATTATTTTGAGAGTAATCAAGCTTGATTGTCATGTGATTTTAACAAATAACTGTTTCAAAAATACTTATTAATTTACACATAATTTATATTATTTTCTATTCAATTGTATAAGAAAAGTTTAAATAAATTTGCAGTAACATCTTTAGATTATCACATGCACTCATTGCATTCATGTAAGTTTGTTTCAGCCCATCTGAGCTTGTTAACACCTAGAGCTAGTTTTGATCAATTTTCAAATATATTATATTAAGATCTTCATTAACTTCTTAACATTGAATATTGGACAGAACCGCTTCCTCAATCTTTACCAATTAGAACTAACTCAAAATAAATTCCAAAAAATATTAACCAGATTTATCAGGAATGATGAAATTCGAAAAGAGTTCTCCACAGATTCCTTAAAATAATGGATCAATAAATTATTAAATAGATTTTACTAGTCTCCCTCTTCTTGAGCCACTACTTCAATTTATAATTTAGGACAAAGTACTCACACCTTTCCTCAATAAAACCCTGCCATTCAAAACAGTCTTCCACCTTCATAACTTGTAATTTGAATATCAAACACCTAAGAAAAAGTCTTAATATATATCAAAATTAAAACATATGAGGACCCAACTCTAATTTGCATTGTTTATATTATTGTAACTTTTAAATTGAGTAAGAATGAATGTAATATAATGTTTTATGTAGAATAGTATTAGTTTGTAAGTTCTTTTAAATGTTTTGTCAAAACCCTTGAAAGACAACAAGTGAAAAGGCCAAATAAAGGTTTGTTTTTTAAAAAAGCCGATTAAGTGTACGATCTTGTCATGTAAAGATTAATCTTACTGCAAAAGTTTTAGCATATATTGTTGTTCCTTTTGTGTTCACTTGACATACCTCTGTGTCTTGAAAAATTATTATTAGAGTTATGTTAATTAAACAAACAATTTCTAATTCTGTGAATATGCTTTTAAATAATGGTGCTACCACAGCATATACTTTCTTGCTTTAACTTTTGCAATTTTTGAAAGTTTACAGAGTTTAAATGAAAATAGGACTGCAGAATTTCTTTTAAAGCATCCTAGCACTATCTCGTAAAAAAGAAGAAAAAAGGAAAGGGCTGTTTGAAATAGAATTATAAAAAATTGCATTTACTTCAACCAACTAGTGGGAGAACAGCATGAAAGAGATTATCTTGTACTAGCTAGTTTCCTTTTCTTTTCGACATCTAAAAATCTACCAAGGTCTATCACGGCACCACGAGGAGGTGATGAACAGCACCCATCGCACAGCCCAAATGTCGCATAGACATTTCTCGGTCCTGGACCTTTACGCATTTGCCCCTGATATTCTTTGGTCGCTCTTTGTTGCTAGTAGGATTGTTCTGGTACAAGGTATGGATGGTTTCGCATCTCAAACGCAACAAAATAGGGAAAAACAAAATTAAAGAATGTGAAAAGTGCAATACCCCATTAAATCTTTATCACATTTTCAAAGTATGTCCCAGACATAATGGTAAGTAATCTTAACATAACATACAAGAGAATTAACTGGTTATAATCATGAAGCAATACTCCATCCCAAAGAAGACCAAGAAAGAATAATTAAATTTTGTAAACACGTCAATAGACATTTAATTCCAATGGATTCATGTGAATTGTAATTATTATTTTGAATTGTTACTACTGTAGGATGCAACTAAAAATTAACTTAAAAAAAATAAAGAAAAAAAATCGAAAACGTTTTTGAGAAAATAATTGTTTAAACATTTTCTAAATCGACTAATTTCAAACAAAATTACATGAAAACTACTCATATTTTCAAAAAATCGTTCAAGCCCTTGTTTCAAGATCAAGATTTTAAGTTTCTCGAAAGCTCACAAGTTTGCTCTGAAAAGTGCCTGTGCCTGAAAAGTCACGGTTTCGAGTCCCGCCCAGGGCATGGATGTTTGTGTCCACATACAGTTACCCCCAATCTTACTTACAGTGGTTGATATACGACCTTAGTAATTGAAAAGCAACCTTAAATAAGGAAAAAATAAATACAATTTTTAAAAATTTTAAAGAAGGTAAAGTGAATAAATGTTACTTGTCCAACAATGTACAACGTATTTGTTCTACAACAAATGTATTATGCGTGTGATTATGTACGAACGATTCCATGACCACATACCATTCGAATTACCCTACAGAATTATGACGAGTTAATGAAGAGTTTTCGCAAAGTCTATACTATTTCATTATAAAACCGACTTTCAATTCATTCATATGCTAAGCCAGACAGATTCATAAACACTAAATTGCATAGTAGAATCAGTACAGAAAAACTTGAAGTAATGAATGAGCCCCAAGATTTCCGAATGAAAATCCCAAAAAATGGAATAATATTAAAAGAAAATCTTGATAAACATAACCCTGAAAATATTAACACATTCCAACTCCACTGAAATGTTCTACCACTCATAATGAGAAGTGTGGTAATTGGAACGTAATTGATTACTTCCCAATTACTTGACTTACCAAAAAATTTCAAAACTTGTGACAAAAAAGTTGTCATTGAATAAAAAAGTAATACCTCACCTTTGGTGTAACCTGCTCTGGTTTCTTTTCTTCTCCTTCCTTGTTGTGACGAAGTCGACGAGGTGCTTCTGTATCTACGCACTCCACTTCCGAACCAGAAGACTCTTTATCGCATTCTGAACACTGCCTAAAATAGGAAGAAAAGCAGCGTTTTAAAAATAACAGATTTGCTTAAGCTACACAAACGACAAAAGTACACAACTGAGGAGCTGAATTGCACGTGCAAAAAATAAAATACAATTTACTCATGAGCAGTATTTGATAGTCAGTACCAACAATATTTGACAGCCAGGATAATTTGGTGTTTTTTACTCATCAAATTACTTAATACAGAAAATTAATATCTAAATCATACGGAATCAGGAGTATTTCGTTTTGTTAATGGTTACATATATTACATTTCCCGAGATGGCTGGCTTGAGCCAGCCATTGTTCTTTAACAAAAGACAAAGACGTTTTAAATTATTATTCCTTAAAACCAAAAACACTCAATGAATATTAATAGCTACGCACTGTTTTGCTGCAATCCTTTCAGTGAACCATTACCCCCCAAATGTACGGATTAACCACAGAATTTGATCTTAACTATTTTAACAAACAACTTATTTTAATCAAATATTTTTTTTTAAAATAAAAAGCAATTTCAATCACGATATCTCATTTTAACCAAAAAGCCTGATTTAACCCCAAAACTTATTTCAATGGAGTTTGAGTAAAGGGAGTTGAGTCATTTTTTGTGGAGGTGGAGTTTTGTTGCTTTCGCAATTCATAAATCAAAACATTCACAATTAGAGTTTCTCTGCCAAAAATCCCTGTTTTCCTGCGATTACAATACTTTCTCTTCTTTAGAAGACAAGAAAGGTAAAAAGGAAGTTCACGCCCGCAAGAAAAAGATCTGAGTGATTATGGAGATAATGGTTTCTGCAGAAATTCTTGGGTCTGGTGTTTGAGATAGAGAACTTGAATCCAATTTTGTCACTCCATTCTTGGAATCGGTTAAGGGCAAATTGCAATTGTATTTTGATAACCTGTGTTTTTTGGTAGAGCAAAAATTGCCAAAATGTCAACGAAGAGCGAGGTTTTCAGTCTCTCATATGAATGATGCTACAATGATGATAGCAATGGTAAAGTGTGACACAGAATTGTTCCCTAGAAGGACATTTACCATATGTTCACCAGATAATCAACTGTCCAATAAATAGTTTCATAGACAAATTAAAAATTAAATTAATAATAATGGATCTCAATTTTTAAGTTTTATTTATAAAATATAACACCTTTTGTAACAAGTTCTTTCCTCATTATGGCATATTATATTTCTTTCTTGCATGTTTCAATGACTGATCTGTCTTCATGTTCGACAACATACAATTACTTAAAAGTTTATCTTGTTTACTATAAATTGGTGTCTTCGTCAGTTGAAACATGGTAGCATTGGTTCAGTAACTTACTCAGCGAATCCGTAGACCTTCAGTCACCTCTCAACCAACTGGGTCACGTATTTTGGTACAGAATATCCTAATTTATTACATAAACAAAGAATGAGGGGCTCTCTGATTTCTAAGTTTCAATTGACGAAGACAGCAAATTAAACATTGTAAACTTTACACATTTCTTTGTTCCAAGAGCCACATCAGAGGAGGGTTTACCATTCGCGCTAAGAGACAACTAATAGTAATAGATAGTGCGGTAGCTTGAGATTGTTCTATCATTTCCTTCCTTGGAAAGTCGGATCATAGTTACTTCAAGTAAATTCCCAGAAATAGTATGCTAAAACAGTTTGAAGAGGGGACGTGCTTTTTCTGGTAGAGATTTCACCAAGGATGTCCGGGTTCGATTCCTGGAGAAGCTCATGTGAAATTTGTTCCCACAAAATGAGTTTTCTTGCTTTACAGGACCTAATCCAATCCCTGTGAAGCGTCCTAAACCATACCACTGCCCTAATTCCTTCCTACTTCTGGCCGTTAGGACGAGACGGTCAGGAGCGAGTTGTAAGAGGCGCGTACGCGGAGGCGCTACCTGGCGGTCCTCTTGACAGCTCACTGCGACGAGACTGGTCAGCAGACAATGAATGCTAATGGAGGATTACTCCTTGTTGCGCTCAAAGCTTTTCCAGGAGCTTGGAGACGCGTTGCGTCACAGTAGACGCAACACACAACAAAAAACTACTGTCGCACGCGCAGGTTATAGAACCCTTGCAGTATTTTCTCCAGAAGGGAAGCGCGATCGACAGTAAGGATCCCGTTCAGCTGAGGTGGTTAATCCATCCACCTTGCGCTGGCTCCTCTAAACATCGGAGCCTCCTCTATTGGGAAAAAGATTTTCAGATATTCCTCGAATTCAGTCACGAAGTCTTCACTGCATGGCTTCAATTTGCTTACAAGATGGAGTCGCTTCAACCACTCAATGTAGTATATTCTAGCTCGTTGATAATTACACATTATTACATATTCGTGATATTTTAATATAAAATGGAATATTTCTTACACCAGTTGCCTAATCTTGTGTTATTGCAGTCGTTTTCCTTACAACGCAAGGTACTACTCCGCTTCTATGACCACCGGACCTTCGATGTGAATTGCCAAACTACCGCCCCCGCCCCCTTCGCTTCTGGGAAACCGTGAGCTGGGAGTGAAGGGAAAGCAGATTTCACAGAACTGAGTGTAACTCGATGGAAATCTAACAATTTTAACAATTTTTTTAATATCTCGTGTTATCGCATGGTTGGCTTGCTGGGAAGGGGGGGGGTGTAGGGGCTGTTCTGAAACATCACACGTGAGAATAGGATATTCATTCTACCTCGTTGCATGACGACAGCTGTAACGCGACTGAGAATTACGAGAATAAAACGAATGACACAATTAAGTATTTGCATTTTTTCTAAAAACTCTAAACTGTTTCATTGTTTTTGTATTTGTATATCTAAGGAAACCGTTGGCACATCTCACATTACCATAGGCTGCGTAGTTCGGCAGCCTAACGGAGGCTGCTGGCGCCTCTTCAATTTCTCTGCGCGTGCGAAATTAAGGGAAATTTCTGCGAGCGCTTACGAAGCAATGTAAATTACTTCTGTAGAAATAGAACTTTCAGTAAAAATAAAACCTGGTCGGCGACATTCTGTGCCCTCAAATTTTAAAACTCTTGAGAGGTGGAATTTTAAACTACGACTTTTTATGTTACGTATTTTCTGTTTTTCTTACAAATTTAAAAAACTTTCCATTTATATGTACATATTTTATTGTTTTTTTTATTACATCCGGTTCCCTACTCGTTACAAATCGTAGAAATAGGTGCAATTTTTTTAAAGAAATACATCTCAAATTTACAATTAACGTGTATTTTAGCATTAAAAATTATAAGTCGGTAATATGACCCAGCGGCGCCGGTAATTGCGGCTACAGCTAATTGTTGACAGCGCCCCGTTAAAACAACGATTCATTTGGTATATACATATGGCGAATAATTTTTCGATTCTTGCCCAAAACGCTCATTATCATCTGAATTCAGAAGTTAATTGGTTTATGGGCTAAGGTAGCTTTTCCCAGAATTTAAGAAAACGTAAAGAATACACTTCTCCCTTGGGCAAGTTATTGTGACGTGTATTCCCATACAAATCAAATTAAAAAACGAATAAGATATTAGTACGAATATTACCAACAATTAAAACAATCGGTTTGAGAAAAAAAAACTTCAGATGCTTTATTTTGAATATAAATACTACAAATTACAAAATATCAATTACCCAAATGTAAAAGCTTACAAAAATAGTTTAAGCTAGGAATTTGCAACAATAAATAAGGTAACTATATAATATACAAGCACATGTTTAGCCTATTAATTCAAGTAAAAATTGAAAGACAAACTTACCAGCCCATCAACTTGGTCTTCTTAGGCATGCGCGTCAAAGGAGGATTCAAACAGCCCAGATGATAATACAGGTGGCACGTGTCGCACTTAGCCAGCAAGTGCTGGTCATTCGTCTGAGAGCATATGCCACACGCGTTCAAGGGGATAGGAACTCCTGACTCTATCACAAACACAACACAAACCACAATATAAGCACATCACTCCTTTTTAAGGAAAGTTCTGCTAAATTACCACAAAGATGGAAGGCGACAAAATCATGTTTTTTTATGGTAAAATGCAGAACAATGTATTTTTATTGTTCTCAAATTAAGGGAGATAATTTGTATTTAACGGTGCAATTAATAGAAGTCATGTGAGACGGTGAAAATCATTAACAATGTCGCATTTTACATTCTCGCTTCTCCTTGTGCAGTATAGAGAAAGTATTGCAACGCTCCGGGGAAAACGGCGAATTTTCGACAGCAAAACTCTTATTGGCGGGCCCTGGTAACGAAAAAGTGGATAAATCTTGCCCAAGTATACAGTTAAATGACTTCCTCTAAAACGTAGTGTGATAATCCATTTTTTCTGGGTTCTTGATTCCGATATATCGATTGACGGCAAAGCATCTGTCCGTCTCTCTGTGAACAAGGCTAAACCGCAAGCAGGATTTTCACCAAAACTGATATTCCCGAATCGATCTGGCCGATGTCAATATGAATCCGATATTTTAATTCTGGGGTGTACTTTACGTCCAGCTCCTGACATTTTCAAACATTTCAACAACAAAAAATGGGTTCACTTTTTTTTTTATTAAAGTTCGTGCTCGGATTGCGTAAAGGGCGTTTAAGAGAATGGTGCAGATCTAATTTTCAGTAAAAAATCCTAAATTTCCGAAAATTGCAGAAATTCACATTTCTTTCAGCATTTTCTAAAACTACAATTACAAAGATTATAATATTTTTTCTTAATGAAATATGTTGATCAGAAACAGATCTTCAAATAACCTAATGTTAATATTTTCGAAAATATGAGTATTATGCATGAAACATAGGCAACTTTTAAAATTTAAACGATTGGCTCCAATTTTTTAATTTCTTTTTCCGTGTATGTAGCAACGATCGGCAAAGAATGTGGTAATGGTCCCATTTTCGGTGCACTCTGTATTTTCGAAAATCGCATAAAAATGTAAATTCATGACCATCATTTGGCACGCTGTCAGTTCACAAAATGGCAAACACGGGGGTTGGAAATTCTTAGAATTTGTGTCATTGTTGCCGGTAGAGTTGATTGTATGACGATAATATTCTCATGAAAGGAAATAGGGACGGTAATAGATTTAACTTAGAACTAACACTTTTACTTTAAGACGTTTGAACGCTGGTTATGGTACTAAAACATTGGGAACTCACTTCAAGTAATGGAGACAAGCTTTTGTAAAATTATTCTCGCTTTTCTGAATAATGCGCTATTACAGTTTCATGCTTGTTTTATTTGTAAAAGTAGAAAATGACTACTGTTCCTGACTATAGAAATAAATTCATATATGCACCACACGCGCTTCGGTTGCATTGGTAGAATTGGACGTTTTCAAGTTAGCTGACGTAACAGGACAGATTTTGCGATAATACATTATATAATAATTTTCAACAATTCAATACCATACAATTGGTGTAGCACCTCTAGTTTTACTCGTTCGCTACTGCTCATGCAGAATAGATGGTATTGTAATGTTGCGGAAAAGGGGAATTTTCAACAGAAAAACTCGTATTGTCGGCCCTGGTAACGAAAAAGTGGATAAATCTTGCCCCTAGGTATATAGTAAATTACTTCCTCCAACACGCTGTGTAGTCAGAATCCCAGTTTTGTGGGTCCTACGTGCCGAAAAATCTAATGTCTGTAAACAACGCTACTGGCTAAACGGGAAGTCGGAATTTCACAAAAATTTATATTTCTCAATAGGTCAGGCTGCTGTAGCAGCCCCTGAATTTTAAGACGATATTTGGGAGTACTTTGAATGAGGCCTTCTCAATTTCCTTTTAAAAACGGTTTCAAATTTTTTGATCAAGTTTTGTCATTGGATAGCGAAAAGGACGCTTAAGAGAATGGTGCAGGTCTCCTTTTCGTTGAAGTCTAATTTTTCGAAAATTGCACAAGTTGACATTTTTTTCGGCGTCTTGCAACATTGAAGTCAGATTTTTTTTCAAAAGAAATTTGTTCTCCATAATTAGTTCTTTGATTAATATTAAGCACATTTTTTAAAATACTTTAGTAGATTTTGTACAATTCTGAATTAAATATGGGCAATATTAAAAAACATTTTTAAAAACCAAATTTTCTATAGTAGTAATATATGCTCTATATACAAAGGCACAACGCCATTTTGCAGTATTCTTTTGTTTTTATTTATACAAATGTACGTTTTTTCAAAGTCTCTTACCGTTAATATTTACATCAATGGTGATTTGTATGATTTGCTACATTTGTAAAAACAAATGCTTCAAATGATGTTGGGTGAAGTTTCTTGAAAACACGAAAGTTTTCTGTGAAAATGAGCTCGAAATTCTGCATTTTCAGAAACACTCAGACGCTATTTTTTCGAAAACGGCTTCAATTTTTTTCTTTTCCTTTCTTTAATGGGTAGTGCTAAATGGACTGACTAATATGATAAATTTTGTCAGTTTCCTCTTTGATGAATTATTTTGTTTTTTTTTCAAACATTACACAAGCGAATTTTTTATAAAGAATAGTGCATATATATATATATATATATATATATATATATATATATATATATATATATATATATATATATATAAAGTTTTTCGCATTCATCGTAACCTTTAAACGACATTTTCTCAAACGGCTTCAAATTTTTCAATGAAAATTTCCATAAAGGAAAAGGTTTTGCTCTTCTATAACCAAGTCGAGGATATTATGTCTCTTGGGTCATTCGCTTTCATTATTGTCCAGAAGATTGACGGCCAGGGCATTTGTATGTCGATCAGGAGCGCTTGCTACTTAACAAGTTTTTAATTTTGTTTAATTTTTTTTTTTTTTTTTTTTTTTTTTTTT